ATTACATAACAAAACCAAAAAAAGTCATAGTTAGACTTTGATGAAAACGAGAAGTTGTAACATATTGATGCGAACCGAGCAATCGGGCTCAATGAACTCAATGAAGTATATGAGCGGGAGTAGTTAATTTAAATTTTATATGTTAATTATTTGGATAGAATCAGTAGGTTAGTTTATAATTTAAATATTTGAATGGTTAGTTATATGTTAATTACAATTTGAATATTTGAATTTTTAGACTTAGCCTATAAAAATGCATGTACTCATGATTGTAAAGGAAGGAAGTTGAAAGTAATAAAAATTAAGAAAGAAGCTCGTCTTCGAGTCATTTTTTCGTGAAAAATCAAGGCTGATAGTTCGGATTTTTCACTTATTAAAGTGTTCGAACCAAGACCGTTAGCGCAGGTTCTTACACAAAATCGAGTCCCGATACACGATCTTCATCATTTTTATTGCACCTCTAACCTGAACCCAAGAAGTTTGGTCCATTCGAATTGGTCTAAGGGCATGGTATTGCACACTTGCCGTTGACTTAACTACCTCATGTGGATAATCTAGTTGACATTTGGGTTACCTATTTTGGTAGGACATACAAAAATTATCCCTTACTCATGAAAAAAAATTGTTTCTCCTTTCAACATTAGACTTTGCTTTATAAATTCATTCAAAGTCAAATTTCATAAAAGATAAAAACGTGTGGGTTTAGAGGTATATTATTAATTTGTTGATAATTGTTTTCGTGTACCTTCATACGGCATTTGGGAATTTTAAATGATGTAAATAGGTGACATAGAAAGAGTAATTATGTAACTTGCAACACCGAAAAAATATCACATTCGAAGAAAATTCAATAAAAATAATTAAACGAAATTTGTATGAATATTGCAACGGAATTCGTTGGAAAATTTGGAAGGATATTTTAATAGAGATTGACATTGATAAAAAAAAATTTTGAGTTTTAATTGAAATATGATAATTTCAACAATAATTTTTCAACGGTTTGTCGTTTATGATTTTTCACTGGAATATACAGTTCTCACCAGAATTGCTTATCCCACTAGTAATTCCAACGGTTGAAAAAACTAATGTTTCGGTTATTAAAATTCATGAGAATCAATTCCAACGAAACATTTTGTTAGAATTAAAAAAAAAAAAAATTAAGTTATTTTATTAGATTTACCTATAAAACTTTGTTAGAATATATTACTGTTAGAATTTAATGATATTTTACTAATATTCATCTATTGAATTATTGAATGAATGACGAAACGACACTGTATATATATTTTTTTTCCTCATAAATATACTACAGAAAACAACATACATTCGTAAGCAAGAAAATTTGAACAGAATCCGTACTACATCCACAACACACATTCTAATTTTTATTGAACTATATATAAGTACTATTCATAATTATATTATACCAAAAACACTTACATATATCATAATAAAAAAAAATTCTAAAAATGGGAAAACTTAAATTAATGAATTATTAACCTTAAGTCACTATCCAACCATCCTTTTCACCAAACCCAGTCTCCACTTATAATTAGTATATATAATTAGAGTTGAATTTGTCTTTGCCAAATTCACAACTACTAACCAAACATTAGCAAACACCCAAACACTACATAAAAAGCCAATTCCAAACTCTCTTCTTTCTCCATATCCCTCTTCAAAACTTCAACCA